GCCGTTGCTGCCTTACATGGCTGGCTGGCCGCGGCCGGCGCCGCGCGGCTGCCGCGCGCAGGTAGCGCCCAGGTGGGCGCAGCGCCCAACGGCCCCCGGGGCTAAACGTCCCTGCGGCAGCGGCGGAGCGGGGCGGCTGCCACTCTGGGCGCAGCTGAGGAATACTTGGGGCATAGGTGGGGTACAAATGGGGTATGAGCGAGGTGAAGCTGGGGTACAGCTGAGGTAAAGCGGGGTACAGCTCACGTAGAGCTGGTGGAAGGAACCAGCACTGCGCTGAGGAGGCCCAGGGCATGGCCAGACCTGGGTGCTCACCAGGCACTTGTTCACATCTCTCCCATCCATTTTTATCCCCTTATTCCTCTGTTTTCCCATGCCTGTTCCTTCCCACTTCAATGCCTCCCCTACSTACTCCCATCGTAACTCTCATGCACTACTCATGCAAACTCTCATGCAACACACATTGTAACTCTCATGCAGTCCCAAGGTGCTCTTCTCYTGCACCTCCAAGGATGTCCCAGACCCCAGGTGTATCCCAGACCCCAAGGYGGTGGCACCCCAGCCTGAAGGGCACCCGAAGTGTCCATCTGTCCGACTCTGCAGGTGGCTTCACACCATGACTATGATGCTCCTCATTTTGGGAGGTGCTGGACCAAGGACACCCTATCTCCAAGAGGGAGCTTAGGGATGTAGTGAGGTGGGCGTCCATCTCCAACATAACTACCAATAGGGACAAGAGGAAATGGCCTCAAGTTGCACCAGGAGAGGTTCAGGTTAAACATTAGGGAACATTTCTACATGGAAAGGGTGGTGAAGCATTGGAAGAGGCTGCCCAGGGAAGTGGTGGAGTCACCATCCCTGGCAGTGTTCAAGACATGTGGAGCTGAGGCACTTAGGGACACAGGTTAGCAGGAAGGGTGATGATTGGTAAACAGTTGGACTCAATGATCTTGAAGGTCTTTTCCAACCATAATGATTCTGTGATTCTATGGTGTAGTTCCCAGGACTAAATTGTCAAATGTAAGGAAAATATGCCATCACCCAGTTTGGGTAAAGACARAAGCCCTTCAAAAGCTAAGTCAAGGATACCTCAGGGCAAGCATGTTCTGCCAGCCTGATCCTCGCTGGCCTCTCTTCTGCTTTTCARTTTGCAGCCAGGTAGCTCACCCTCCAGGGAGGAGGGTGAGGTGGCACAAGGGAATCTATAGGGGAAAAAAAATGACTTAATTTCTTTCTTTGCCTGAAGTTTGTTATTCATGACCTATGTCTTGTGCAACACTCAAACTATTTTTATAGAAGTTTAGCATAAAAACAACATTTTTTTTTTACTGTTTATCACATCACTACAATAATGTAATTTGGGCTAATTTTAATCCTGTGTGCAGATTAATCGCTCCCATACTTGAAAGCAGGAGAGCAGACATTTGCATTTAGTTTCATCTGTAGTTCATGCTACCATCAAATGCAGTATATGTGTTGGACATATCTCCAGAAAATTAAAATAATGTAAATGCCATCTATTCTGTGGATAACTGCAGCACTCAGTGCACTTACATTACAAAAAAAAAAAAAAATAAAATAAAAATAAAAAAAAAAATTAATATATGGAATTCCCTAGAGCTTTCAGAAGTCTTCTGTTAATGGCAGAAATACTCTGTCACAGAAAAGGACCTCACAGCAAACCCTGAAAAGAGTCCAACCCTTGATTAGCCTCATCTATTCTGGAAGTCCATTCAGTAAAAATAAAAATAGAAAAATCCTCAACCAGAAAGCATGTTCTTCAGATCTCACCACTTTGTCCTAAGATTAGCTGCATTTCCTCAGAGCGTTAGCACAGCTGTGGTAGGCTGCCATTGGGTTAAACTTTCTTTTTTTTTCCCTAAGCACAGGCCCCTGTGTAAGTTCAGCTGTGACCTGACCTGATAATTCACTGGTGTGACCTAACATTTTAAATCTTCTTTTCCTCTTCTAAATAAACATTTGCAAATATGAGTGACGCAATGTCCTTCCCTCTCGCAAGCTCGGGCTGTGCATTCCCAAGCTACTGCRGAGGGAGTTCGTTCCTGTAGGAGCYGAGCAGAGRGCAGGCACCAGCCGAAYCCCAGATCTTGCGGGGCTCTCTGAATGCAGCTTTCCTTTCCATTGCTCCTGGCTCCAAGCTTGGGTTTAAGGATGGGCTGTGCGGCCCCTGGGCTGAGGGYTATGGGAGGCTGGCAAACTGGGCCTGCAGTTTCCCTCTGTGAATTTCCACAGTAAGGAAAACACAGACAGATTTCACRCTGACTTCCAGGATGCTATTCATTGCATCCATCTATGCAAAATAAACCCAAAGGACACTTCCCAACATCACTCCCCCTCCAGCTAATGTACCTGAACACCAAGTGTTCTGAGCGTGCCGCAGCCCCGCTCCCAGCACTTGGCACAGCTGCTCTTCAAAGCCACGGAGCCGCCTGCGGTCATACTTTCCAGGAGGAAATATTATGAGCAGTTCCATTTATACAGCATTATATGCTAYTATATTACTATTACATGATGTTATATGAACGACTCCATTACTTCCTTTTATCTTCACCTTTCGCCAGTAGGAAGCAATCGGTTTTGCTCCTCACCTGTTGCTGTTCTCTAGCACTAATTCCCATGTTAATGCTTTTCAAAGATTTAGTTCTTTTCCTCCTTCCTTCTCTAGTTATCTGTAAGAAGTGGGTCATCTTTCCTGCTCGGGCAGCTCCTTTGCTAACGTGCAAAGCTGGTGTCACCAGAGCAGGAGACCTTGATGGCCACCCCCAGTCCTTGGATTGAGGGAGATGGGCAGCCCAGACAGACATGGCACACGCCATAGACATGAAGTGGGCAGAGATACAGCAACATCGTGACTTGAACCAGAATTCAGAAAGAGTAAATAAAAAGCTTCTGCAAGGTTTTTACCTGGGTAGTGAGAGGTATCATAGAGACAGCACTATTATTATGAAAGGCCACTTTCCACCTGCAATTTTCAAACATGAAACAAATGAAAGAAATTTTTGTTGGAATATTTTTATGAAAGAGTATTATTTTGGTTGCATCTTCCATGAAAATGACAAAATCATTTCAAATGCCCCATTCCATCATTGCAGAAACTGCGATTTTGTCAAGAGTCTGCCCTAGCGTTGTTTCACTGATGGAGAATCAAGTAGAATTTTCCAAGTTATGTAAACAGTCACATATATGCGTATATATATTTAGAGTAACCTTTATATGTATACACAGCATCAATATTGTCAATAGGTTACACACAGCCAATATACACACAGCTACACACATTGTCACAGTCACAAGAGAGCAGAAATGACTTGAACCTGACGGAGCTCCATAGACGAAACTGTGAGGGATATTTAGCTGCATATATACATATATACACATGTATATATTCATACATACATATATAAATAAAACAGCAGCACTTCAAATGGGTGGACAAGCCAAGCATAAAAGGCTGGTTTCCTGCACGAGAGGTTGGGCACAGCGCGTTCTGCCTTGCGCTGGGTGTACAGCAGCTAACACAATGGTGTTTACGGCAGCAGTGCCATAAACTTGTCAGCTTTACTGAAATACACGTCTAACTGAGCACAAACAAGCTGATGCAAACGGAGGAGCCAGGGCTCAGAAGATGYGTGCGTGTGTTAATGGAGTAACTCGGCAGCGCTAACGAAGCAGGGCACAGTCCTGCACATGGATGGCCATGAGGGAGTTCCTGAATTACCTGCCAAAGCTCCCACGACATATGGGGTGTCTTTCTAATTCACATTCTACCTGTCCTTTACCCCAAGAAAGGATGGAAAGGAGTGAA